ATCAAGAAGGACATATAGCGCATCACGTCGATCTCCTAAATCATGCCTATTGCCACCCTTTCCTCCCCAGTAAGCCGGGCCAAAGCAGGCTGCGGCACCTTAGTCCTCTGCACTTGGAGCATGGCCAATAGAGGTGAGCCCCCGGTACGATGCACAAATAAGAATCTCTCCTTCCAGTGCTTCACCGAGGACGAGGTCCCGACCAGCACCTTAATGCGTTGCCTGGCCGAGAAGTAGAAATACCCCTGCTGGTGGTGCTTCAATTGAAGGAAGTAGGTAACCACCCCCAGGGTAAGCTCGACATCATAGATAAAACAGTAAGACATAAGGCCGATCAGGAACCTAAAGGAGTTCGACATCAGCTGCACCGGTAGTACTCTGTACCACTCAAACACCCCAACTACCTCGTCGTGCAATGGGAACCTCAGCCAAGAGCTCGCTCGACCGAGCATCTGTGGGCCTCTCACCATCCCTCGAACACCCTGGCTCAAACTCATAATAGGAAGAAGGGAAATCAGAGGAAGAGGAAGAATGGAAGGACGAGGAAGACATCTTACCAAATCTTGTAGGCTAAGGCCATGGAACTGAAGCAAACACCGAACACCGTAGACTACTCCTTGCCAAGCTCTCTAAGTGAATTCTTTCGCAAATGACGAAGGGTAAATGCTCTTCCCCCTATTTATAGAATTCTCAACGATCCAGATCAAAGCAAGATCAACGACGAAGATCAAGCGCCACTCTAACAAGCTCGGGAAGGCCAATCAGTGCTACCGCCCTTCACACACGTAGAGCCTCGGGATAAGAAACAATGCATCTGACAACCCATTTCGGAAATGGGACCTACGTTGAACCAATTGGTTCATTTAGAAAAACCGGTCCAACCTCGAGCCGTGCGGTCCGAATCAAATGCTCAACCAAACTTCAACTTCAAGTTCCTCAACCGAGAACCAAAGAACTCTTCCACGCCACACTGTGGCTGAGCACTTCACTCCTCGACTTCGGAACTGGGGGAGTGGTGACTTATCTCCTCGACCACGTCAGCACCGCGTCACCTCCACAGCCCTACCCTATCTCTTCAGCCACGTCGACACCACACCATGTGGATAAGCGCGACCAAGATAGGAGATCATCACGCGGATGGGGACAACTCCACTGGGGATTAGGTCTTATCTCGAAGACCTCGGCGGGTAACCTTATCCCGACAACCCCAGAAGCCTCATCCGATCAGGACACGGATCATCGGCTATAAAAAGGTACCTCCCACTCATGGTGAAGGATCCAACTTTTGACTCCCATACTATTACTCTGCTCGGACCAGCACCGTTCTCTAACTGCTCGGCTCGACTACCCACCGCTTTCTATTGACTTGAGCGTCGGAGTATCTACCCAAGGATAACTCCTCGGGCTTTTGACTTTTTCTTGGTTTCAGATCTCATTGTGCAGCTTCGTCCTTCCACCTCGGCTCCGCCCAGTTGGAAGGACTATTTAATTGTGACCTCGGTTCTTGCATTACCTAGGATCTAGTAGCATCACCTTCTATCCTCCGTGTTTTGTCTACTTGTTAATTTATTATCATCAAAGCCAAACTGACCATTGCAATTTGCAGAGACACCCACATCCACATGAGAGAGAGAGAGAGAGAGAAAGAGATGAAGATGGCAAAGCTCATCGAATACAGTAGAAAGTTTAAGAAGATGGTGGCTACCGTAATGAGTAGCACCGATGGACAAGTCTTAATCTTGTTTCCTCGTGCAGTTCACTTGGACGAGCCTTTCCACTCAACAAATAAATGCATAGGCGACCATATTGTCGCGGGGGTAGATCTACAGCGGAAGAAACCCGTAAGGCGTCTAGGCCAAGGCCGGATAGGACAAGCCTGATGCATGCTTAAGCCTAGGAGTTGCCCGATGAGATGGCTCCACCAAGGTCAGTAGCATTGGATCATGACCTCAAGGCTCATGGCCGGGGCACTCTGCTGGCTCTTGCTGGTCCATGGGAGGCGCCAGTTACGTGCTAAAGGGGGATGGCCATGACAAGAGGTGACTTGGCTCTGATGAGAGGGGCTCCTGTATACTGGTGAGGTAGGCACCCGTTGTGCCGATGATGATAGACAACCGCTGGGTCAGAACACACTCATGCGCTAGGGGCAACGGGATAGCTCATTCAGCTTAGGCAAGGGGCTGGTGAGGTGTAGGGACATGCTTAAGCCAGACCCGCATGCCAAGCCTCCCTTCAGTGAGCGGAGGCATAGTGCCGGTCCATGCACTGTCCCCATGAGCATGTGTGCGCCCATGAGGAACCCTGGTAGCCATGCTAGCCATTAATAGGGCCCTCCTCGCAAGGGATGTTGGTCTAGGAGTGCCAAGGTTAGGCACCCAAGGAGGTCGACCACCCCTCCTCAAAAAGTACGCTAAGCTTTTGGTGGTCTACCTGAAGATAACATCAATTCTCCTAGAAATTTTACAGGCGGAAATGATGATGGTGTCCCTTAACGTAAGCCCACCAAGCGTAGGCAAGGCTAAGCCTGTGTCAAATCATGACAAGCTCTCCCACTCAATCCATTGTCGTCCTTGACAATGGCTCCTTTGTGAATGGGCGTCTATGTCCCACGCCATCCACTTGTGTGCCAGTTCCAGGGCTCGCCTGGCCAACTAGGGTCTCGCCTATGTTGGTGTCCATTTATGGGGACAAAACCATTTCACCATGCCGCCCTGCCTAGACTTCACCCTCAGTGTTGAGGTTACTCAAACCGTGCAATGGCTATGCCGTTGAAAGTTTGTGAGAAGGGCCCTCGAAGAAATTGGATGTGTGCTTCGCGGAGGTCCTCCCCATGTATCATCTTTACCTCAAGGCTCGACCGTCTTCATGGTAGCTTTTTGGTAGTGCTACCGAACACAATGTGATAGGTCTACTCCTGCTGTTGGCGTGTGTCCTGGGTACCCTTTCACCATGCTGGCCTGCAGACTTCACCTCACTGTGTTCGGGTTATTCAAACCTAGCCATGGCTTATGCACTCTTGGCCCTTGAAACTACACTTCACCATGCCGACTCGGGCTACCTCTTCGCTTCGAGGGGGCCCCAATGTGCTACTGCCTCAAGGAGATCTGACCGTAATGTGTACGAGTGTGGCAACTTTTTCCCATGATGTTGCCGAACATGCACTCGCCTTTGTGATGTGTGATTGCTGCTGCGAATGCTCCGCCTATGTGATGAACTGAGCATGTCCTCTGATGCATTGCCGGTGTAGGGCCGCCATGTTCCAACGGCCAATGTATCCACATTCCTAACATTCCAATATTGTAGCTTCAACCGAGGACCCATTTGTATGCAAGACTGCCACTTCAATGATATTCCTTGACCAACCGTCGACACCAACCAATTCCAGGCTGCTGTCCCTGCCTTAGTAGTGCCTCTGACAAGCTACGAAACAATGGCTCATTCTTCATGGAACCAAGATGTAGGCACACCGCCCACAACTCGCTAAAATGAACAACAACTGATGTCCATGAGGAAGTATGACATGGGGACACGATGAATGGCCTCTTGCCAGGCTTGATGTGTAGAGGCTTGCTTGTACCCGAGTGGAAGTGCCTAGGGACCGCACCCCACGATGTGCTGCTTATGATAACCGCTTCAACTAGCTCTGTGTGGATTTGCTCTAATACCAATTGTCACGGGGGTAGATCTACAGCGGAAGAAACCTGTGCAGCGTCCAAGCCAAGGCCGGCCAGGACAAGCTTGATACATGCTTAGGGCTAGGAGTTGCCCGATGAAATGGCTCCACCAAGGTCAGTAGCACTGGATCATGACCTTAAGGCTCATGGCCGAGGCACTTTGCTAGCTCTTGCCAGTCCATGGGAGGCACTACTTATGTGCTAAAGGGGGATAGCCATGATGAGAGGCGACTTGGCGCCAATCAGAGGGGCTCCTGTATGCTGGTGATGTAGGCACCCGTTGTGTCGATGATGATTGGCAACCGCTGGGCCGGAACACATCCATGCGCTAGGGACAACGAGTAGCTCATTCAGCTTAGGCAAAGGGTTGGCGAGGTGCTGGTACATGCTTAAGCCAGACCCGCATGCTAAGCCTCCCTTCAGTGAGCGGAGGCGTAGTGTCGATCCATGCACTGTCCCCATGAGCATATGTGCACCCATGAGGAACCCTGGTAACCATGCTAGCCGTTAACCCAAGCTGCCCCGCAAGGGATGTTGGTCTAGGAGTGCCAAGGTCAGGCACCCAAGGAGGTCGACCACCCCTCATCAAAGAATACGTTAAGCTTTTGGTGGTTTGCCTGAAGATAACATCAATTCTCTCAAAAATCTTATAGGCAAAAATGACGATGGTGTCCCTTAACGTAAGCCCACCAAGAATAGGCAAGGCTAAGCCTGTGTTAGACCGTGACAATACGGCCAGATGCCAAGCCCATCCGTTGATGGCAGCTTATATCGCAGACCAGAGTCACTTTACTCTTCGGCCAAATATTCACATTTAATAGAAGACAAATGCTTTCTTATTTTTCGGTCCTTGACTCTTGTTTTATGCCATCTTTTCCTTCGGAGAGGCGAGAGATGTCTATCTTTCATGCAGTTTCAGTAAGTATTTCCAGTATAAATGTTGTGATATATATACTCCAACAACAATTTGTAGTACCTCTGTAATCCTTGGAATCATTTCAGCAAAGAATCCGGATTGTGTGGTGCAATCCTAATCATCTTTTTGTTTGATTGGTTGTTCGTCCCATGGAAATCTTGTCCTACAACGATCTTATTAAGTTCTTAACCATATATATTTCAGTAGAAAGTAGTTGATAGAATGGATATAGAATCCTGGTTCTCATCTTTCAATCGGGTACTATGGATTAGTACATGGAATGAAGAGCCATTTATAGTAATCAGACATCTCTTATGTTTTTATTTTATTTTTTCCACTCTCGTGGGGTATTTTCTCATTGAAGATTGAAGAAGGCCATGAGAAAACAACTGTTATAAGGAAAAATAACATCTAGGCCCAAGAATCTTCAACTCCATTGTTTTCATTATTGTAAACATTTCCGGTTTGTGACAATTGACTAAAGCAAACAAGAAATTTTAACTGAATTTTTGTTTTATGGGAGCATACTACAATGAATTAGTTTCCTAGTGCAAGGCCACAGGTTGACACACCTGTTAAAAGGGTATAAGGACTAGTTGTATTTCAGTAAATTTATTAACCACCCCTCTCCCTCCAAACAATTACAAAAGGCAAACACCATAACTCTCAGCATGACTGTGGGGCTTGCCGGGAACCAAGAGTGGTAGTAAACCCGTTGTGCATGGCTTCAGAATTTCTAGTTGAACTTTCTGTTAATCTGGTTTTTGAATATGGTCTTCTTAGGAATTGGAATTGCCACCTTTTAGGCTTTATCTGCCCCAACAATTTCATTTGCTCCCTTCGGAACTTCCTATTTGCGTACCATTTTCCACCTCGCCAACCCAAGCCATACCTGCAATACACAAGAAATTAGGAGCCCACACGGGATATGATGATATCACTTTTTTTTTTTAAATATCACATGACACCGACCACAAGACATCAATTTTGAACCTGACTTGATGCACATCAATATTGTTCCTCCAGGATCTGGATCTGGTATTCAATCCTGATGCACATTTTTTTTATCTACACAATGTCCATTTTAACCTATATGCACGGGCAAGCAAATTAGAGGAGCAAAGTCCTAATTTTGGGGTCAGATTTGCATGCAGTGTTGCCTCCAAGATAAAAGCAGCACTCTATTACCAAGTCACATATTCCCTCCAAGATAAAAGTCGACCATATACTAAATTTTTTGTGTATGAATATCTCCGGTCTGTCTTGAGAGTAATTGGTTTAATGTCTTGCCACCAATAATTTTGACAAGGCTTTGAGATATCTGTACTAATAGAAGGTTTAAGTTATAAAACACTTTTTGTATGCATAACTATGTCATAGTAGTTTGGATCGAGAGAGACCTATGCAATTGATCAATCAAAGCGGGGGATTGTTGGATTCTAATCTCATTAGAAATTAAATCCAGTGGGGTTTGATTGATCAATTACATGAAAAACACACCTGCACACATGTCTTGGAAAATAGTTTTTTCTCTTACTACAACCAGTTTTCAACTTGTCCCACATTGGAAAATTACAAAACTTGTTTTGAATTTTCAAATAGGAGCTTATTTACACTTCTTAAAAATAAAAAGGAGAGTATGGAGGCTTGCTACCACGCAACGCGCACGCACGCGTGTGTGGCGCAATGAGGTGCTTTAGAGGCGCACTTTGCTTATGAAGGGCAGCTTTAACTTTTGGTGTGAGGCTGATCATAGATGTTTCAACGGTCACGATTCGGTCAGGTGTGAACAAGAGGCACTATTTAAAGTTAACAATCATTAATTATTAACTACCTTTTTAAAAGTCACGATGTTTGAAATTGTGACTGTTCAAAGAGCCTTTTCTGAACCAGCACCTTCCTCTGCTCCATGACTCTTCAGAGATTATTTAAGGAGAGTGAATCAAACAAATGTATGCACAAGCTTTTCAAAAATCAGTCGTCTCTCTCTGTTCGATCTGCTACTGTCTCATAGAAGGTTTCTTCGGAGAATCTTCAACTTTGCTAGTTGAAGACTCTCGCCCAAGGCTCTGTTATATCCTGGGAATGGATTTGCCTGTAACCCAACAACAAACTCAATAGAACTGAGTGGGAGCAAATAATATTCTAAAGACAATGTCTTCAGACACGCCTCAGAACTTCTCCTCAAAGTTTTAGTGATCCCAATTTCCCAACAGCCTCCAAGATAAAAGCAACACTCTATTACCAAGTCACATATACCCTTACAAACTCTAGACCCTGCCTTGAATAGAGAAGACTTCAGCTTCTTCTTCATCACTCAAAAATTCAGGGCATTTTCGACAAGATATGGATTGAAATGCTTCATCCTCAAGGTGCTAAAAGAATAATTGAAAATTCATCTGTCCTACAAGCACATCAAGCTTTTGCTCGACCACCAAGTTGCTCATGCAGGGTTAATTCAAAAAAATGTCATTCAAGTTAAATACCTACACTAAAGAAACACCTTTGCCAAAACATGAAAAGGAGTCTCTAAGGCACTCCCAATCTATCAACCATTACTCATCTCTATTAGTCTGCATTGATCTTGTCTAATAAATGAAGAGAAACCGAAATTGAAAGATGAGATGATATTTTGCATTAAAATTTTGTCTAACATAACATGCTCCAATAAAAAAAGGGTAGCCCAGTGCACAAGGCTCCTACCAATGTGGGGTCTGGGGAGGGACAGATGAACGCAGCCTTACCCCTACACATACAGAGAGGATGCTTCCAAGATTTTAGCCCTGGTCACCCAGGTTGCAATGGTGCAACCCAACCATTGTGCCAAGGCCCACCCTCAACAAGCTCCAATAATGATGATGGTAATTTCAGTACACCAAGTTCAGATAGACCACCCATTCTTACCACTCCTCTAACACTCACTGTTCATGCAGCTACACCTCACCTTTGGGAGGATACCGGCCATAAGTTATTGATCCCAAAATGCACTCAAAGAAATCCTTGATCCTAGTGCCTGCCCTAAATATAATAAGATCCTCCTAATTCCTCTCCTTGCAGGACAATTTACTAGAGAATTTTCCAATCTAGTGACCCATGTACACAAGATACTAACTTTCAAGACCAAAGCTGTAGCCTCCCCAATATAATAGATGTTACCTGAAGGGGCATCTGCACCAGTCCTCATCCATCCAATAACTGTCCACAAGTTTCTCCACAACCGCCTTGTCTACTTTCAGGGCAAACATCAAAACTTAGGCCCCACCAAGAGTGTCAGTATCTCCAATATGGCCAAATAACCAGGGTCTGTTCATCCTGAAAAGATCAATATTCACTTTCCCGTAGCCCCTAAAAACTCTACAAGGGAGAAGAATAAGAAACCTCTTCTTTTAACTTCAAATTACTTCTCATCTCACTCTCTGTACACTTGCAAGATGATGTTAACGCTTGACATCAAGTCAAATGCTTCTCATTCTTGTATGACTTTTTTTTTGTCAGTATTCTTGTATGACGTTTTTACTGTTACAGTTAAGTGTTTCTAATGATATGCATGGATGTGGTTTGTCATAATTCTTTTCTAACTTACTTGAGTCCATCTCCTATAATGACTTATATAAACATAATAAGGCAATGCCAATAAAAATAAATAAAACATGATAAGGCAAGTGAGTGATATTGGTGTCTTTCCTGATTTCTTATTCCTTCTCAACACTAACTGCAAGAAACATGATCTACATAGAGGGTACAGTTTACTTTGGGGAAAAATATGAAAAAAAAAAAGAAATTTAAAGAATGCATGACATGTAATATTAAGTTCCTATTAACTAGCAGTAGCAAGTATGATAACCAATGAAAAGCAGGAAAAAAAAAAAAGATACGCTTCAGAATTAGGATTCATCATCCTAACATCCAAAACGAAGAAATTAGGGAAGCTGTTTTGGTCATCTATCCCAGGCTTCCCAGCTGCAATCTTATGGACCATCTGGCTGGAAAGAAATAGCAGAATTTTTTAGCAAAAGCTAGGTTCAGAAGCAGTGGTGATTAATGCTGCAGTAGGCTTCTTAAAGAGTTGGTTGTCTGTACATAATGTATTTAGAAATGATACTTTTTCATCTTCTTTTTTGAGGGTGGTTTTTTTAGGGGTCCATAGTGGGTTGTCTTGTACAGTTTCTCTTTGTACAAAGGACCTTGATCAGTGATTAATACAATATGCTATACTTTGCCTTTTTCGAAAAAAAAAAAAAAACATCCAATACGAAGAAATTCATAATGCTGGAAGTCAATATGTTTAGAAGCAAACCCAATAATCAAAGAGGTTCCTGCAGTGGCAATGCAAGTTGTAGTACTGATGCTTCCTGAACCAACAATCTTCTTTATTTCAGCATGTTCAATATGATAGTTTTTTTTCATCTGCTCAGAATAATAAACAAAAAAAAAAAAGAAAAAAGTTACCCACATGTGTAGGAAACCCCAATCAATAGAGATAAAGAGGAAATTCAATAATAAGAGAAGGTTACGGAGGTTACAAATAAAACCTTTATTAACTATTGAAGAATTCTAATTACAAGTTTATGGAGGTTATAAACAATGCAACATTAAGAGAAAGTAAGAATAAACACTTAGAACTCCAAAACAAAGAGAAGAAACAGGTGGGATATCCAAAACCAAGGGGAACTCAGCTTCATATGTAACTTATGAGGAAATTTTTAATGCTGGAGAAAAGGCATTAAGTGTAGAAAAAATGTCAAATCAAAATATTCCAAAAAATTTGTAATTTTCCTGAAGTTGTCAAAGGTGCCTTGGGGTGCAAACTTCATCAAGTATAAAGGCCACATGCAAACAGAGATAACTCCAAAGACAAGGAATCATGACACAAAAAAGTACACACCTCATTTAATGCATGTGTATGTGTATGTGTATGTGTTTTTTTTTTTTTTGATAAATGAAAGTGATTTTATTAATTCAAATAAAGAAAGTACAGTCAGCCTAGGAGGAGGCACAAGGTGTTACCTCCCCCAAGGACTGAACCATAAGCACTAAACAAACACAAGCCTGAAACACAATTATAAGGTAGCCCAAAACAGATCCCCCCTTGATATCCCTTGCTTGGCTAGAGAGTCAGCCATTGCATTTGCTGATCTTCTAACCCACTGAACCCTGACTGTCATATTTCTTGTCAGCCATTTAACTTTCTTTAACAGGTCCCTGTAGCCCCAACAAGCTGTTTCCGGACTTGTCAGCCATCCCACTACTACCTTGGAATCCCCTTCATGCATGTGTATGTGTTTTCTCAACTCCTTTCTTTTTTTACTAAAAAAATTCCTTTTTCTTTTTCTTTGGAAGGGAGAAGTTTACGTTTTTTAATGAGATTGTGGTTTAGACAATATAAGCTGTATAAGACACATACGTATGCACATTATACAAGTGGAGCTCTTGGTTATGCACGTTACCAAATATGAAGGAGCTATTAAGAGGCAGATCAAGAAGGTTGTCGAGAAAGGTGAAGATGCTAATTTTGATCGCAGTGGATTTCTGACTGGTCGCCATCCATGGGCCATCAACAGAGAAAGTGGTGAGTCAAATAAGGGTGCTGGCACTTCAGTTTTTTAGAAGGATAATGATCCACAGATTCTTGTTGCCAGTCATGCCTCAGTGGTTTCTTGGGTGTTTGGTCCTGTGGAGGGACAAGAAGGGGTGAGGGTTGGGCAGAGGGATGGGATGGAGGGGAATGAGCTTGAGCTTAATAAAGATGGTAGGTCAAAGGTTGCTGAAAGTGGAGATGCACCTGAGAAAATTACGGCAGACGATGCAGAATATTGGTCTCTTCCTGTAGACAAGTCATCTTCGGATTTCTCCTTTTCTTTTGAGGAAGTAGCGGTTGGTAAGTTAGGTGTTGATTTGGGGTGAAGGAGGAAGGCAAAGGAGAGAGAGGAGGTGGCTGGTGAAGAGGAGAGGCCTAAGAGGAATTTCTCCTCAAGCAACTTGCACATTGTTCACGTCACTAAAAGGAGGAAAGCCAAAACTGTCGACTGCAAAGGTTTCAGATGAAGCTGAGCCTCCTAACTCTTTTAGCTCGGAATCTAATTCTGTTCATTTGTATCAAGATAAAAAGAAAGAGGAGGATTGGGATGATAATACGGGGAATGTGGTTGGTAAGGTCATAGATGAAGTAGGGAAGAAGGAAGGATGCTTGGAAATTGAGAAAATTGTTGAAAAAAAAAATGGAAGTGGGCAAAAGGCTTGGTCTGTTCTTTTTGGGTGGTGAAACATTTGCTAGGAAAGCCATTGAGGAGTTTGAGCAAAGGAGGGAGGAGAGCTTGAAAAAGAATGTAGTAGGGGAAGGTGGAGAGATTTGGGATGAGTCTGTTGATGGGGAGAAGGAATTACTTGAGGGAGAGGAGTATCTGTGGATTTTATTTTGTGTTTTTTGTTGGAGTCAGGTGGGTGTTGGAGGTTGGGTTTGTCTTGTTTGGTTGGAGTTTTCTTTTTGTTGATTCAGTGTCATTTGTTGTTGTGACGTTGGTGTTCCCTTTTCTAACTTTCCACTAATCACTTGACTCACTTCCATGCTAGAAATCCCACTGGAGCTGTTTTCATTGTTAAGAACATCCTAGAGATCTGGACATCTCTTGTTATTTTAAGAAAATTTTCTTTGATTTACTATAAAAAAGCCTATTGTTTTTTGAGAGAAGATAACTAATTTCATTAAGATAAAAAAAAAGGGAGGGATGTACATGAGGGGATGTACAAAGCCTTGTCAGCAAAAGAGAAACAAAAGACAAAGCCCACTAAATTGGCAATGTATGAGCACTATACAAAAAATCCCTTCCCAGCCCAGATTTAGCTAGACCATCAGCCACTTGATTTAATTCTCTGGGAATCCATCTAAAACTGCACTGTAAGCAAGAGGCAAGCACCCTGATTTCTAACAGAAAATGGGATAGCTTCCACCGGTCAAGAGTTTGTTGGAAGCCCAATTTATAACATCCCTTGAATCTCCTTCCACTGCAATGAAACAGAGCTGATGTGACTTGGCAATTCTGAGGCCTTCCAGGAAGGCCCTAGCCTCTGCTTCAGAAGCACCAACAGCCTTGGGAGGGCCACTATAGGCCCAAGTCAAATCTCCATTTGCTCTTCGAATTAGACCTCATATTCCAGCATTTGAGCTGTCCTCTGCAGATCTCCTAAAACTGCCATCAAAGTTCAGAATGCGCTCACAATCTTGTTTTGGGGTGATTTCAAGAAGAGGCTGAGGGTGAAATGGAGAGGTTGACAGAAGTGCTGGCCAATTACTTTGTATGTTCTGATTGATACCCTCAAAATCTTTACAATAAAAAAGTCCATTGTTAAGAGCATATTTTTTTTTCTTTTTCCAATGGATTAGTTTGAAACGTAATTTAAGAATAGCATCAAAATCAAAAAGAAAATCATGTTCCATAAAAGGAAAAGGTTTAACATAAAATAACAACCAAAAGAAGGATACTAAAGTTATATCTCTACTGAAAGCAACACAACCAATTGTTGTTCTTTTGACGATGAACCACTCCGGTACAGACTATACGGAGTAAATTTGGAGAAAGTGAACAGTCAGTATCATACTTCAAAGTCCCAACTGTGGCATGTGAAAACAGTCCTTCCCTTGGTTTKAAGCCTTTATTCTTAAGGTCCGTACAGAGCATTTGATTTTAAATTAAAAAAAATAAAAAAATCCATCTGCTGTCATAATGACAATACAAACTTGACAAGAAAAAACCACCATAAAAATATAAGAACAAAAGAAATAAAAACTTACAGCCTTTTCAATTGACTCGAGCCTTTCCTCAACTTTAGCTTGATGAAGGTATCTAAGAGAATAACCTGCATAACCAATTCATAGTTCAAAAGAGGTAACTACCTTATCTTAACTAAATATATCAAAGGTCATCAATAGCTATAAGACATAAAAAAGGTAAGTGATCAAGTTGAATGGAACCAATCTTCCTTGTGTTTGCAACATGAAGAATCTTACCACATTGCAACTTGAATAGACATAGTGGTAAGCCAGATATAGTCAGATTCCTTCATTTTAAAGTATGATCTACTCAAGCTCGGGGGATTCCTGAAACTCTAACCAACTAGCAATTGGAAATTTAGTAACTTATAATCTACTTTACTACAGTTTTGTCATTACCTGTTAGTACTAAGCAAGGAAGCAACAATCTTTGTTTATTACTTGGCATAATGCTTAATCTCAGACTGGCACAATACGGGTTTGGTTCTTAGAGCAACCACTTTAGTACCCAAAAAAATTCCAAAAGTTCGGACCATTTCTAGTCTACCCCTCCTAATACCCCAGATAGCTGGGACCAGCAATAGGTAATGGCCTTTTACATATGTGACTTGGCATCTTAGTTAATCTACCATTTTTTTATCAGTAAGTCTAGAGGCTACTGAGATTTTAACACCCAACCCAACCCACATTCCAATCAGAACAGCTCTCACCAGTCATCTGTCATCAATGAGCCAAGGACTAAATTTTAACTTAGTTAATATACCAAAAATCATTCTTGGTGCTCCACTCCATAACCCCAGAAGGTGGAGTTCTAGGTTTACTTTCAGCCTGATATGCTAACGATTTGAACAACCAGGTCTATAATGTTTTGTCACTTCCATGACCATGATGTTTTGCACAACTAACTCTGCTTATTTACTTATTTATTCATTGTTAGTATAAGACTATAAGTTGAAAGGCAAGGTTGTACGCAAACATTAAATATGAACTTTAACCTTTGATTGATAATGATTAGGATGCGTGATTTCTTTTAATCACTTAACCTTTGAATGAGCTGTTTCAATCACCTGCAATGATCAAATTCTGGATTCCCAAATTTTTTATTATCCCGATTCCGGTGAGAGCAGCCATCACTTCAGCCTTTGTGGAGTCAGCCAAGCCAATTGGACTGCTAAAAGTCCAGCATATATTGCCCCTTTTGTCCCTTACTGTACCTCCAATGCCAGCTAATCCAGGGTTACCTAAGGCACTGCCGTTGAAGTTGAGGGTCATCACTCCTTCACTGATGGGGACGGGGTGCCTCAAGGATGTTTGCTGGGGATGAGGGAGAAACAGAAAAGGGTAAACATCTCTATTAAGATCATTGCCTGAAAGTCCTTCAACTTATCTTTCACTTATGTGTTCTTTATATCAGTAATGTCACATTTCTGTTATTATTTCTAGGCTTCTGGCAGATTTGTATCATCTTTTAATATTTCTTTAGATGACAAAGGTATGATTCTTCAATTTATATTTCTTTCTATGTTATTTCTTATTAATCTTAAGTTTCTATTAAGATATTTAGTGTTTCTTACTGTTCAATTCACACTATCATATGGCATTCTTCAATTAAATTTAAATGCCTTGATATCAACTGTATCCCCCCTCTCTTTTTGTTGATGTCTAAAGTGGGAATATTTGTATTAACTATTGGTTACATAAAAAAAAAGGGGCCACAGAAACAATACATAGGGCTTTACATGGTTAATGAGATAGAATAATGTACAAAATTTACATGATTTGGCTTCTACATCAAAAGGAGCAAGAAAAATAATTTTCGCCCATTATATATATGGTAAAAGCAGTTTTCATATTTCAGATCCTAAAAATTCTGACCCAGAATACCAATTTCATGATTTTCCCTATCAATACTTGGACTGGGTGATTCTTCCTATTAAAGATATGGCCATTCCTCTCCTTCCACAAGCTCCATCATATTCAAAACAGAGAAAGGTACCATGAGTAAAAGGCCATGACGACTGATGAGATCAAGGCTACCAAATCCTTTGTAGTAAACCAGTATCTGTGAAAGGGTGCGATTAAGTGGAACCCGGAGGGGGGGTTCGGAGACAGAGAGATGTGAGTATGGAGTATTGCTATCAATTTAGTTGGTATATATCAAATAGAAACATATTAATTATGGTTTTTGGTGAGAAGAACATAAAGTGAGAATGGGGTTTATGAACTGTTTCCTTATGACAGCATATTGGAGGTCTTGGTTTCTTTCAATTATCTCTTTTGTGCTCTTCTTATATAGCTTTAATAAGGTATGCAGAATATCAAGCTTGAATTTAAGTTTAACTGGGTTTGTAACATATTAATCGAAATTTCAAATCCGTAAAAAGAGAACCAAAATCAGTAAAAACAGAACTAAAACTAGTAATTACCAAGTTTTAATCGTAAAAGTACCTACCAACCCATGCAGTAGCAATTGATGCTAAAGAAGTTGAGATTGTAAATACCACCCTGTGTCTCTCAAAAATGTCCTTAAAGAAAAACAAATTTAACAGCAAAATTAATCAGAAAACAGCAAAATACTACCTCTTTAATCAGAATCGAATAATTTAATCTCGTATAAGACCCTAAGAAATGTGGAAAAGGAAGAGTACTTTGGTCGAAAAATAGGTGTCCTGAACAGCAGACCAAGAGTTCAAAGCCTTCCTTCTCAAGCGAGGCATGGCCAGAGGTCCAAAAATTGAGGTTCCGTAACTCCTTAATCGATGCATTCTACGCCAGAACTGGTCGATCAATCCAGTTCTCGAGTTCTTCGATTCCTTTTTACGATATCATATGCGGGATTTTACCACTCCGGAGTCCGGAGAGGGAAAGCTCCTTGTTGATAGTCCAGAAAGGAAAGGGAACTTCTATTTTTGCTTCAGAACACCCGTCCCTGGCAAAAAGATGACCCAACACGCAAACCCGATCCAACCCAACCCGAAAATAGGGTTAAGGTCTCATATTTAACTACCTGCGAATGACCCGACCCGAATCGAAAATGGGTTGATTTGGGTTAACCCGATTTTCAGGTCTAATTGAGACCGTTTATATATTGTTAGAAGTGTCCCCTCTAATTTTGATTATTTAGTCTTTAACTTTATTGTTTACTCTTTAAATTATTGAATGTTCCAAGTTTTTTATTTTATTTTTAGAATTTTAAGCTTAATTCTTGTAATTTTAGCATTTTTCTATATTTTTCTTTATTTTTAAATTTCCAATTACTTTTAGGGATGACCCGAATTAACCCATGGGTTAGTCCTAACCTGAACAATTAGGGTTAAGGTCTAGCATTTGCCAACAAAACCTGAAAGCAACCCACCCGATATCCACCACCAATTGTCTTGACCCAACCCAAACCCGATCCACCCAACCCAATTGCCAAGTCTACCCTATACTTTTAGTGTCTTAAATTTAGTCCCTATTATTTTTTACAACACTTAACCCCCTCTTTACTTTTATATCATTACAAATAACTCCTTCCATTTGGTGATCATTTTTCAGCCCGACACAAAAATTCTTGGCTTGGGCAAAGTCTGAATCTGCTCTTTAAAGAGCGCTCCTCACACCAACCTCACATCATGTACCAGTCGCACATCGAGAACATCTTCCGTACGACTTCGGATTTGTTCCTCACAGAGCACGTCTCACACCAACCTCATAGCTCGTTTGGCCATGCATCTAGAACATCTCCGTACTTGAAAATATTTATTCATGGGAAGATGTTCCCATTGAAACGTGTTGTGAGGTCAGTGCGGGGCATGCTCTGTGAGGAACAGATCCAAACTCCTGTACTTATAAGTTATTATTCATGGGAGATGTTCCCAAATCCCAATACACAACGGGATGTGATTATGAGGTCAGTGTGAGGAGTAAATCCCAGTTTGCTTGGGCATAAGAATTTGGATTTGCTTCTCATAGAATGCATCTCACACCGACTTCACAGCCCTATCCCACCATGTATTAGTAACATCACCCTATAAATAATAATACAAAATACCAAAGATGTTCCTGATGTGCGGCCAAGAGGTGTTGTGAGGAGAGCTATGTGAGGAGCAGATCTAGGCTCTTGGCATATATTTGGGTAGAAGACTTCTAGGAGTGCTTGGGTTCGACTATGATATGGGAAAGATATGATATCTAAAAAACTTATGACTAGTCAACTGGAATCAAAATGTGGTAACCAATCAGATGTTATTTGTCAAAATTCATGGATGGGTTTTGATTGGTCAAAACTCTTCTGATACCATGTCTTTCTTGCTTTATAGATTTTCTTGTGCTTAATAATATGAATGTTTGGTGGACAAGTGCTTCTTTCAAACGGGGTAGCATATGTATTCTGATAACTAGGCGATGGATCAAGATAGGACCAGAAATGTAATAAGCATGATTAAGGCTATGTTTGGGGGGCTTTTCTTCTCTAAACGGGCTTTTAAATAAGCACTTTTTGAATAAGTGTTTATAAGAAAAGCATTTTTTATCGTTTGGTGGTACCTGGCTTTTTTTTTTTAATTGCAACATAAATAGCTAAGAGCCATTATATTTTCATTTTTTAAATGGGCCTTTTGATAAAAAAAAAGTCCATTTGCAGTTGTTTCATCATAAATGCTTTTTGGTGCTTTTGGACTTTTTAAGCATTGTTCCCAATAAGCACTTAAAAGAAAAACTCCCAAATAGAGACTTAAACTTGCCCTTCATTTTTCAAAGAAACTTAAACATTCCTTCCCATTGTTATCTCAAATGGTTTGAGGCAAAAGACATTTTTGCCTTTAAGGTCTTACCTTAAATGCAAACTTGCAAACCCTACCTTGTAATGTTACAATTTGTTGAAGGGGTGTTTTGTAACCTAGATGAGAAATTGGTGGGTTTGGACAGGTCCACACCACACCACTATGGTAGGGAACACACCATATCACAGTCCACAGTTGTTCTGAACTATGGATAAACTGATTGGACTAATTCAGTCCACACTTGCAGTTGTGTTTTGTAGGTGTGGCACACTTTTTGATTTTATACATCTCACATACAATTTGTGAAATAGCTACACAATCGATTATAAAAAGTAATTATACCCAATAACCCTAATTAATTTGGAAATATCATCGATAAATTCATATTAAACAATAAAAAATTTATTTTAACAAAAAATAAGTGAGAAAATAATTAAAAATAACAAAAATATTTTGTATTAAAAAAATAAATAATGCAATGAATAATTATTGAATTATTTAAAACTTCAATAAAAAGAGTAGAACTTATGCTAAAAAATTAGAAGGTACATGATACATCATCAAATTATAGCTTCAGGGGTGTAAAGGTAAAAAAAAAAACAACAAAATACTAAGAATCTTTTTGTCCAATGGTGGATGAGGACCATCCAAGAAAAATAAGCATGGATGAGAAATTGATGTGGGACCATTCCCAATGAACCGAACACCAATTATTATCGTAAATGGGACCAAAAGAATCAAGAGAATCAATATTTGATGGGACCGTCCTTATTTGAGTAAAAATAATCAAGAGAATCAATATTTGAGTAAAAGTAATCAAGAGAATCAATAATAGATTGGAAGCCTAAATCTCTTGCAAGCAAAAGCTCTGTGCACATGACATCCAGTTGCATATTATGTTAAATTCATAGGGAGATATTCTGACTGTGTAGTTACATGCTCATACTTGTAAAATGTGTGCATCATATTGCCTTGTAGGAGATGGGAGAAACCATTAAAGGAACTTGTAAGGGGCATTCTACAACATAATATATTAGTTTTCATTTGCTTTTAGAATTGCTACATCAGCAAAAACAAAAAAAAAAACAAAACAAAAATATGTTCTTGAACTCCATTTTTGTTTTCCTTCAAAGAAAAAAAAATCAAATTAGTGTTTTTTTTCAAAAATAATACATATTTTTGGAACCATCAAAATAATGGTTTTTTGAAATAAAAACAAATTTTGTAGTATAGAAATTACATGCTTTATGGAAATAACTAAATAAAACATGTTTTGAAACCAAGAATTCAAGAACATATTTCGGATTTGAATTTTGAAAAACACATACATGCACACAAAACCTATTCTAGAATACTCAAGAACATTCTAAGAATTATGAGAATTCCCACGTAGGTTAAGTCGGTGATTCTTGTATATATATATATATACATACATCTTAGAACATTTACATGAATGTTCTCGACTTAATTCTCATAATTCTTAGAATGCTCTCATAATTCTTAGAACATTTACATGAATATTCTTGATTTAACCCATTGATTTTTGCTCGCAGCAAGACAGATTCACTTTGATCATTGTCAAGGCTCTGGTAATAATAATAAATGAAAATTATTATGAAGTTTTTCTTCTACCCATTGCATTTTGTCATGGTATCAGAGCCTTGACAATGATCAAAGTGAACCCATCTCGCTACGTGCAAAAATCAGATGGTTAAGCTTCGTCAGTTGTGATCATAGATCTCTAGTGTCCAAGATTCATTGTCAACACCTCTGTTTGGTTGAATTTTGTCTGTTACGACCATTGGTCTCCGACATCCAAGAATCATTGACATCACCTTTGTTTCTTGGTGATCTTCATTACTTTGTTTCTTATCTTTCTTAAACTTTAGTGCTCTATTCTCTGTTTTTATGGCCAATCTTGATCCCACGTCCCCATATTACCTCCATCTATTTGATCTTCTGTCCTCTTACAAGTGACAACTATTCAACATGGCAATGAGCAATGCGTAATGCATTGCATACCAAAATTAAATTTGCATTCGTAGATGGAACTCTGTAATGCCCAAATCCATTTGTAGCTAAAGATCATATGTGGATTAAATGTAACTCCATGGTGATTTCATGGACTTAATTATTTATCTTGTGAACTCCACGGAAGTGTTGCTTATATAGATACTACTAGTGAGATTTGGAAAGATCTTGAAGAAAGATTTTCGCAAGGCAATGCCCCACGCATCTATCAACTGAAGTGTGATATTTCCCTTCTACACCAAGGAGATTTATCCATTGCTTCACATTTTACAAAGATTAAGAGTCTCTGGGATGAAGTAGCTATTCTCAATCAAACAGCAAATGTGGCCCTACTAAAGAAATTGTTGCAGATCATGAGAAAGACAAGATTTATCACTTTCTGATGGACTTGAATGACATCTTCAATAGCATTCTTTCCAACATCCTAGCTTTTGAGCCCCTTCCTATGATGAGTTGAGTATATGCTCTAGTTGTCCAAGAGGAAAAACATCAGTTAATTATGTCTTAGAAAAGCTTGCCTCTTCCTGATGCTGTTGTTTTATTTGTTTCTTCGAGATCCAACAATTATTTTCGATTCGGTGATAGTCCTCAACCATGCCCATGTTGTGAACATTGCAAACACTAGGACCATCTTAAAGAACGATGCTATGAATTGATCAGCTATCCCGAAGGTTGGGAAAAATGAAAGCCAACTCGCAGGCCAAAACATAGCACTCAACAAAGCACTCCAAGTGCTGGCTTTTCATTTGTTATCATGGCATGCTCTATAACTGGATCTTCTACAATGGTCGACCTCACTTTTTATCAAGACCAGCAACTGATGAGATTGTTGAACACTAATTCCACACCCTATGTGTCACCAATACCTCTGGTAAATCACTTCATCTTATTCATCGGATACTTGATAGCAGAGGTTCCAACCATATTGTCTCCACCAATGATTTGTTTCTCTACTACACCACTTTAAATCCCATTTTTTTGGTTCACTTGCCCAATGATTCAACTTTTAAGGCCACACACATAGGTTCTATCCTCTTAAATCAGCATCATATTGTGCATGACGTTCTTTATGTGCTTAAATTCAAATTTAATCTATTATCCATTGCTAAACCACCCTCCAATTACATTGTACTATTGTTTTTTCC